GGGCGATTTTTCTGTCGTTGTGTTGAGTTAGCTTGTTAAGTAGATGGGTGTAATCTAATTTAACAACGGCGTTCCGAAGATTGGTTGTATTGACGTTAAACTTTTCAGTAAGTTGTCTCTTCTGACGGTGTTTCAGTCGAAGTTCTTGATCCAACAATTTCTTTTGACAGGTCCTGTAAGTTGAAGAATTTTGTAGATTTCGATTGGATAATTTAAAATGGAGGAACTTAGGAATGATTCTGGCGTCAGAAGGACTAGCTCCCCAATGCTTGAAGTTCTTGCGACGATTTACACACCAAAATGTTGCATTTTAACTTGGGGAGTGCAGAAGTAGTATAGAGTTTCACTAACTTTAACACGATGTCCATCAAGATAACTGCTGCCTTCATAACGACTGCCATTCATTATAAAATATTCTTTGGTGTTGTGTACAAAAGAGGGGAAACAAGTAATAAAAAAAAGAAAAATAAGGATGATGTAGGGATGGCAATGCCAAAAAGTACAAAAACAAGATAGGGATGAATACACAAAAACCATACATAAATCCTTACATAAGTAGCCACTGAGTCAATGTTACAACCTTATGGGAATTAACCATTATAAGACTTTATAGCATTATTCAGTTTAAATACTTTTACTCAAACCTGAATCTATGTAAATGAGAGGAATTCAACATTTAGCTGTAGATAAAATCTTTTTTGTTTGTTTGTTTGAAAAATTTGGCTACTTATGTGAGGAGTTTTGTATGGTTTTGTGTATTCATCCCTACCTTGTTTCTGCACTTTTTTGGCATTGCCATCTCCACATCATCCTTTTTTTTTTACGTACAGTACCTACACAAGAAAAATTATGTGGACTTTTAAGGAACGTTGGACTTTCTATTCTGTTAGAGCAAGTGAAGCTATATATCTTAGATGATGCTGTAGCAAGCTATGCTACACATCTAGGTGATGGAAGGATATATACATATATGTATAGGTCTATGCTCTACTTAGTAAATTTTTGTGAAGTTAATTGGAAGTTGCTTCGAGGACGTTTTATTCAAATGTGTAATCCAAAGGTTTTCCCGCCTTTTCTGCACATATTTTTTTTGTTTGATACTTCTCTTTTGCTGATTTTTTACATTAAGTTTTTTCTTCGCATTATTGTTCCTTCTCCGTTCATCATTGGCAAGTAATTTGTATCTGTGAGTTTCCGAATTTATTCTTAATTCAAAGCTGGGGGTAAAAGTTGACCTTTTAAAAACAAGATCGGTTAGACTGTTGTTCAAGTTCTTCCCTAAAGTTATGAACTCTTACTTCAGTCTTGGCGTGCTTCTATCTTGTATCATCTTCCTACCAGTCACGGCCTTACGAGCATTATTCTTCGCTCTGTTGCCCGAAATGTTCCTGTGCAAGATATTTTTTCTTCTCTTCCTATTTACACCCACGTGGATGGAGTTCATCGAATTACTTCAAGAAAAACGGAAAAAATCTTGAGTTTTATCTATGTGATTGTAACTTATTCTTCTCAAACTCAATAACTGCTTCATCCTTGCCTTTGGATTATTCCACTTTCCTGCTGAAAAGCCAAGTCAGAAATATTTCAACCGTTCTTTTAAATCTATTGGAACTTCTTGTCTTTTTTATACCCCATTAATTTCAGTTTCTACACATAAACTTGTAAGTTAACTTAAACTCTACTCCTTTTTTCATTAACCAAAAATGTATGTACAGTAAGCCTTCATCACTCCCGGAGTCTAAACAGCCCTTACCAAATGTCATAAACCTACGCAAGCTTACTTGAACAACCTGCTGTTCTCGAGGTGACACTTCTCCCGTTGTCGTCACTCAGATTTTACGGAACTTTTTTTGACCAATAGTCTCAAATAATGACCCGGAAACACCCTGGGTCTACCCAGTCTGTTGTTACTTTTTTGTCCTCTGACACTGCTACACGAACGTCAACTTTTCTAGTATGCTTTGTCCACAAGCCAAATTTGGAATTCAAAATCGTCCATTTTCATAGTTTTTCGTATTGACTTTTATTCTACCTTTTTATGCGTACTTTTATGTATTTCTATCACCGTTATGTTGTTGTCCTTACGTCTTTACAGAATATTGCGTTACCATGAGGATTTATGAAGATATATCTGTGTGCTTCTGTAGTCGTTTTGTGCCATTTCCACAATGACTGCCATTCATTAAACTCCTGGTGTTCACAATGTATAACTATCTAGTCTACCAGTTACTAAACTCCTGGTGTTCACAATGTATAACTATCTAGTCTACCAGTTACTAAACTCCTTGTGTTCACAATGTATAACTATCTAGTCTACCAGTTACTGAACTTTATGATTTCTTCATCTTTCCGAGTCACTAATTATTTGCTTCAAGCTACAGTCATAATTCTACCTAAGTGTTTGAGAAATTTAAACACTTTTGCAACACCTCCTATTCTCCAACACCTGATGTTTATCCAACGTCGTTGACTAGGAAAACAAGAACAGATGGAACTATAGGGAAGAACCTCAAGAGACATATCCCATAATGTCGCAAATGAGCAACATCTTCCTTTGCTAGGCCTGTAAACAGTTCTGGGCAGTATTAATATGTTGTTTCAAGGGTATTTTGAGCAGTTGTGGTATTTCTTAAGCTTAAATATTGATATTACAATGGAATTTTATTTTCGGCTGAGAAGTCAAGATACTTTATTAGATTTCTCTATTCAAACATTCATTTTGTCCCTGCTATATTTAGCCTAATTTTCAAACTCTGTCATGATAATCAAAACATGTATACAAAAAAAAAAAAATCGTACCAGTAATTTCTTTTCCTAAATAGTATTCTTCTTTTTAGGCAGTGAGCTGAGCTAGCAGAAACAACCAAATCCCGTGCCCAAAATTTTCACTCGTGACCAGATTCCCATAGCGTCACCATGTGTTACAAAAGTTATGAAACGGTAAGTACACACTTTGGTTTCTTAACAATGTATAACTGACATTGTGCATTTTCGTTAAATATACCTATATTTTTCTCAATGAAAACAATCACTTGTACTGACAAGTTTGCTAACTGGAGAATTAAGAGGTGCGTGTACAAGTTCCCAAATTCTGGTGAAAGTGGGATTCACCGAAGGCGGAGTCGACTCTTATCTGTTTAGTAGGTAGTAATATCACCTTTTATGTGAGAATTGTTACATTAACGTCAAGTTAACTCAGTATTTGATGTTAAATCCTTAGAGACGTAAACAACAAAACATTATTCAGCATTAACCAGCTAAGCTTTTCCTTGACGATATTCTTTTTCTCTACATCATTCTATATGCATTTCCCCTTCATTTCTAAAACCTTCCTGTTTTGTGATTATAATGAACTAGGACAAGCTAGCTAAGTAGCACCCCTGCAGGTGTTTCCTTTCTGTTTCTGCTGTTTTAATTACATGCAAAAGATCGCAAACAAAGCTAATAATAGTTTCAGCATAATATAATTATCATCCATTATAACGATATATATAAATAATATGTATATATAAACTACAGGGAATGGAACTACTCTCGCTACGGCATTAACGCCAGGATTAGATTAATTAGCTTACTTATTTTAACGTATGATATGTATTTATGAATGCTTTTGCACTGCGTTGTGATGGGCGCTTAAAATCGCAAGATGTCCTTAGCCTGTCAATTAATTAAACCATTGATGATAAAATAAAGCCTGAAGAGCGGTACAGTACATTCTTAATTTAAACAAAAAAAATCGTTCAGGCAGAACTTAAAGTGAGTCACTTAAATTTATTAAATCAGTACAAAAATTATTTTCATTAAGTCCATTCATCGTGGAAATAGATGGCGAACATTTCTCAAAATCGTTTTGAACTTCTGATTGTAAATAACCCATTTAGGCCAGCGGTTTCCCCAAACTCAGTAAAGTTTACATTGCGCCCCCTTTCATTCACATTAAACTAATTTTCGCAAGTGATAACAGCAAAATAAACATTTTCTTTACCTGTTTTTAATAATTATATAAAATGAAAAAAAAATTGCTTGTAAATAGTGAGTAAATGCGAGAGCAGAGTGATTGTTTTTATTAGGTTGTCGTCGTCTCAAACTTCTGTTTCTTCCGTCGTTATTTTTGGGTTCTCCCGCCAAAAGCCCCCCCCCCCCCCACCAGTTTGGAAAATACTGCATTACGCAGTTCTAATAAATACTTCATGGTGTCACCCGCCAATCAACGTACGATCACGAATACTGTACTACGCTATTTGCTTTTGATAGACAGAATAAATAGTTACTGTGATAATTTTGATATATTATGCGTAGGTAATTTCACGTGTTAAATATGGAGGTACCAAGGGTTGAGTGATCATGATTTCTAGTAAGTATAACACTGGAGCTTAGAAGCGTACAGTGTGTTGCTAATAATATTATTTTTAAACGGCACTTGCAAATTGGATATGACACAACCTGTTATAATGTTACAATTGAATTCTTTCGGGATTAACAGATGATTCACAGACGTAATGAGAAACGAAACTTAATGATTTATTGAAAACGCACGAGTATTACAGGCTATGTAGAATATAGAATTCCTGTATATCTACAAATTAACATGTTAACATCTGCACGAAGTCTTCTACTTTTAAAAGACCCGAATTATTTCTAATTCAATCACTATTTACATTTAATTCTGACTGACTCATAAAAATGCTCACTCTTATAAGAGAAAGCTACATATTAAAATAAATTTATTCTATCTTGGTTCCATGATAAATATTCCAGATGATGCATCGAAAAATATACGATACATTCCTCCCTGACCCCCCAGTGGCACAGCGGTATGTCTGCGGACTTACAACGCTAGAATCCAGGTTTCAATACTCGTGGTGGGCAGAGCACAGATAGCCCATTGCGTAGCTTTGTGCTTAATTACAAACAACCAAACATTCCTCCCTAACTTGATAAACATTATCATAAAGAATATTAAAAAACTGTAGCATCATAAAACAAAATAATCTTACTAAAACCTACCACATGAAACAGTTATGAAATTAGTAGCATAATAATGTATGCTGTTAAAAAATAACTACATGTTTAAACCCTCCTGCCAAACAACGAAACATAAAAAACATACCTTTTGTTAAATAACTAGTAATTAAGACTGAACTTTAATAGAACAAAATGTAATGTTTTTATATCTCTGACAATCTTTGGGAACACTTGTCTTCCCGAAAGCGTGGCCTAGTGGCTAGTGTGTCCGAGCTATAAATTTGTGTTTTCATGATTCCTAATACCAGACAACAAAAATGCGCTTCGCACTGTGGGTGACGGTGAAATCATACTAATTAGTCAGACAAGAGTAGCTCAAAGGTTAGCAGGGGGCATTGTTGACTAGCTGCCTTTTCTCTAGTTCCATGGTGCGCAAGCTATGGGCGCGGAGAGTCGATAGTTTGATTAGCTCATGTATTTATCTTTGATTCCATCATTAAAACTACCCACTATGTCCTTTACCCATTTCATCGCTTCTCCATTATAACTCAGTACTGTTTCTATGTAGGCCTTATAGGCATAGAGATTGTGAGACAAATAAATGAGTTTGTCATTTAGGTGTACATCGAATTGAGAAAATGGAGGATAAAGAAACAGATTGGCAGGAGCAGACTTATATTTATCTTTTTATATGTCTGTCCCATCACCTTTAACAATATTTGTCTTCACAGGAAGATACAACTGTGCCAGAACTATGTATTCATCTCCCGATCCTGATATAGAAAATTTTATGGGTCCACTGTCAGTCACTGATGAAAGAGGATAATATTCTGTCCATTGACCCTCTTCAAACAGTGTTTGTGTAGGAGAGAGAGAGAAAATAAATCTAGTTCCATCTTTGTACACTGACAGGACTTTTCATGAGGTAGAAGGGATATAATTACTTGTGAAAAATATCAGGGCTGGATGTTCTCTGTCTCATGGTTTTAGTGATTCCATTGCAGGGTGTTTGCTTGTCCTCCATTTATTAAGTACAACAATCTGTGTGACATCTCGAGTTATCTCTTGAGCCCCTTCTTTTGCACGTTGTTTTCTGGCATCAACAAATAGTTTCCCTTGTATGACATCTGATGCTAAATTTATACCTGATTTAACTGCTTGTTTTTCTAAAGGTAATGCTCCATTTTTCAGAAAAGGTATGGGTGAACGAAATAGGTTGCTTAAGGCATCTCTTGAACTGTGACCTCCTTGCCATTGACTACCTGCAAAATATGGTAATTCATTTCCCACCTGGTAATTTCTGATGATGAAAGTGAAATGTAATGATGATTCTTCCATGTCATACACCAACCCAGGTCATCCTTTATATCTATCTCAATAGTCTGAAATCTCTTTTTAGATACAAGTCTGTAATAAGGTTTCAGAAATGTTTCAGTGATCATGTCTCCATCCTAACCTTTAACTTGAACGATTCAGAACAGTGGCGTGTGTTCATCACCAACGATACTAGGTTCCACAATATCTGGATAAACATAGAGTGAATAATATCCTTCATGGATATTCACAGTATGAGGAACTATAGTGGGTTCTGATACTATATGATTATTCTCAAATCCAAGTAGTACAGATAATATGGGATCACACACATTATGCCAACTAAGTGGATACTGTAGTTGAGCCAAGGCAACTTCCCACAAGCCATCGTGGTTAATAGATCTTGGAAGATATGTTATATAATATGTCAGAGTATTGTTCGCAAAATAGTTCACAGAACTATAGCTGGGTAACATCCCATACAACTGATCCATGTTGAATAATGGGTAATAGAATTATACATAATATTTTATGATGGCAGCAGATTCAGATCGGTTTGAGGGATCCAGCTATTAAACTTATCCTTTCCATAAAATACTCTTTGTTTTTACCCCTTTCTCATTCACGTAATATTTCTTCCAGAGCACATACATTGTCCAAGGACTTGATAACATGTAATTCAGATTTGTAAAATGTTCCATCTAATTCTTCTCTGAGATAGTCTTGTAGTTTGTACACTGAGGTCTTTCTCACCTATTTCTTGTGAATTGTAAGTATTTCATCTGTACACCTAGGGATACATCTTTTCTTAAATTGACATTTTGCTTTACTGATTCAAACTTGATCACCCACCTGGAATTGAAATTTCACTTTAGTGTGTGGTTCTTAAAGAGTTTTCCACACCACAGTCTGATTAACATCAACCGGTAAAATTTTAATACCGTGGTGATACGACCTATTATAGGCACTGACTAAATTTTTTAACACCAAGATGTACTTGAATGTTCTATGATGGGTAAAATAGCGTAACACTTTAGTTTCCAGGAGATGAGATTGTAGTGTACATGTCTAACTGATATATGTCCATATGTTGTGATGACTTTGGCTGTGATAGATGTTGAAGTATTGTATCTGAAGGACGGACCACACACACACACACACACTAATTAAAAAAATTAGCATTCAAATGTTTATACAGTAATTATATAGGTGTGTTTTTCTCTGAACAACTGTTTTTGAAGCAATTTCTATCAGAATCAGATTTCAGACAATGTGTCTAGGTATGTAAAAATATTCACAGAATATTCTGGAAAGATGGAACCATCCAGTACATCTATTTGTGGAATGTGGTAGTTTGCTAAGACAAAACTTTACAACTTGATTTATGAAGTTGATTAACTCTGGGACAACCAATTGACTCCATATTATAGCAGAGAATTTGTGAGAGACTTCTCAACAGTTTGATTTTCTCACTCCCCTTGGTAAACAGCTCTACACTGTCCAGTTCATAATAATGGCATAACTTATAATTGTAGTGCTAAACAGGTCAATGTTATATTTAAATGTATTGTAAATGATTTTATAAATATATGTGTAAATAAATAGATTTATATATTGTTCACATACTCTCTTTTTGTCATTTATTCATCCTGACACCTAGA